TACAGTCAATGAAGGAGCAAAGAATGAACTTTCTCTATGCACTAAAACAGGAAGAAACTTCCGATTATGATGGCTTTCTATGCTCTCAATTTAAGTAACTAGGAAAAATGCAAATCAGTATCGTGCAGACAAGGGGACAAAAGCAACACATACCACTGTCCCCCAAGGGGAGGGGGACAATGAGTTAAGCCTCGTACAGGCTCAAAGTCAAGCAGGTGGTCCTCAAATAAGAAAATATGACCTGCACCAGTGGAAAGATCAATGAATAGAAATGGATCCAGAAAACACGGATATGAAAGTAGTTATTATAGTGTGCTCTATAGGTTCAAGATGACAGAGGGAAACAGAACATGATAGAGAAATCAAAGATAGAAAAGAGACCACCCTGAACCGCCTACATTGCAGAATTCGTAATGTCGTACCATAATGATGATCCTGCAGTAACTTAAACGATGTTCTTAAAATCACACAGGACCTTTACATCTGGCTTAATGGTAACCCTAAAACGAAAATACCCCTGCCTTTGGTCTGAAGAGTGTATTCCATAGCAGGGTGACTCTCAAGAAGATGGCTAGAATGGTCCATGAGGGAAAACTGAAATCACAGTGGATTAGGGCACTACCGATTATTTAAATGATTGGACTTTGTAGGAAAAGTAAGCACTGTGGACCGAGAGTGTTGTCTTTGTTAGAGTAGTTTTTGTTGTGACTGAAGAAAAATATACTCTCACTCTGGCATAGCATCGACTTCTTTTGTATTGTTTCCTTGTGTTTTCTATCAGCACTTAAATACGCTATGGTGTTTCTCGTCTTAGAACAATCTCTCTCTGTCTCTCTGTCTCTGTCTCTCTCTCTCATGCTCTCTGTCTTTCCCTCCCTCCTTCCGAATTTTCTCCACTGCCATTTCGACAAGCCACCATCGTCTCGCACCCGGGCTTCTGTATTATCTGTGTACTCTTCCTGGTTCAAGTTGGAGCCCCCCAAGTTCATTCCCTCAGAGCAGCCAAGGTGACATGTTCCACAAGACATCAGATCGTGCCAAATCTCCCGCCCTTCTAACCTTTTGCTGGCTTCTGACCATTTAGAGAATGGAATGCAAACTTCTGGTCAAGGTCCTGTGATGGGATCTGGTCCTAGCTTGCTTTTCAACATCGTCGCCGATGACTGGCCTCCTTGCTCCCTGCAGTCTGTCCTCAGGGTCTGAATTGCACACCTGAACTCAACCACCCCGGCCTCTGCCACGTGTCAAAACATGTACTCTTTATCTCTGCACGCCAACACCTTCACATACGATTATTCATCAGGCATGACATCCTAATGACAGAAAACCTTGATCGCACTTGATATGAATCAGGCACTGATTGTAAGAACTACATATTAATTTTAAGTCATACTCGTCATTTACCCTTTAATTCTATGGATAACCTACGAGGTGGCCCTACTGTCCCTCCACCTTGCAGCCAAGGAAGCAGCACGGACAGATGGACAGAAATCAAGTCCTTGGCCTTGGGTCTCGGCGTGCGTGACCGGGCAAGCCAGGACTGTCCCCAGGCGCTCTGGTTCCAGAGCCTCTGTTTCGGATACCTCCATATTTATTATTTAAAACATTTCTCTGATCACAAAACCCATAATGGGCATGTGTTTTGAAAGTATTATTTAGTGAAACGTACCCAAATATAAATAAGATTGAATTTTTTCTTATCAAATTTTATCCTTTTCAAAATGCTCTGACAGCACTTGCAAAGGAGAGTTTTAACCCGCCCCCCCCCCCAATGAAGCTCGTGTGTGTGGCCTGAGGCCCGCTGAGTTCATTTGTAAGAACGGTCAGAGAATCACTCTCTTTCCTTCCTAAGACCGTCATCTGCTTAGCGCTCTGAGCAGCAGGTCTCGGACAGGAGGCTTTGGTGTTAGGATCGCACGTGCTACTTAGCGCCGCAGGGTAAGTTTCTTGGCGAATCCCAGCAATGGCTGAACTGGACTCGGAACTGCTTTCAAAGTTTCCAATATCTTAGTACACTCATTTCAGGTTTTCACAAGAAGAATAGTTTGATCGAATAGTTACATCAATGATGAAATATTAATTTTCACAGAACGATTTAAGCGACATGGTGCCTTTTATTTGACCGAGGTCAGAGATGCCTCATCACACATGCTCACAGCTGCATGACAACAGATTCCTCAGTCGGAAATAAGTCTTCATTCAGGTTCATGAGCCAAGTTTTCCAAAGCAAATTAATTTTATTCACTAGTCACCTTATTGCATTCTTTGGGGAAAAGCCTTATTTAATCCACTTGGGTCTTTGCCTCCATCGGTGACAATGACTGTGACAGGGTCTTGAAGATCCAGAAAGCCTACCATGTGCTTTCCCTCCAGAATTCAGAAATAACAAAAAAACAGTGTAGAAAATACAGAGAGAGATGAAAACACCAGATGTAGGGCCACAGAAAGTAGATGGTGGAGTGTGGTTTTGATGGGTGATCACAATGGGCTTTGGAAACTCACCTCCTAATTCTTAAACACAGAGTCACAAAGAGCAAAAGAGTGAATGGCAGGATGTCTCCACCCCACACGGTGGAGCACAAGCCCATCAGAATTCACGACAGCAAGGTGGACATGAATGAGGGAGAGAGAAGGGCTTTGAACTCAGCCACTTCTTAACATTTCTCTTCGCCTCACCCTTAGGAGGTGTCAGTGAAGGATGGGCAAGGAAGGAATCAGGAGTGACCAGGTCTCATCATGCTATTACCCAGGTCTCGCTATAAACCATGTGTATCATTGAATTGAGCTCATTCGCAAAATGTTTGCTCCAATTTCTGAAGTCCACGGAAGGCGTAAAATCTTCAGAATGACAAAACTGGAGCAGAAAAAAATTATTGATGCGCTGGTTCTTTCTACTGCTGTAAAAATTCTCAGTCATCTAAGGCACTTTAGATGCAAACCAAGTCACCAACAGATGCTGACTTCATCCCGGAACCAAAAATGAGTACGATATCATGTTACTACTAGAGGAGAAGAAAGGTTGGGTATGGATACTGACGGGGAAGTTGTTAAAACTGTTTTCTCCTAATGCGACTGTTCAACCATGTTCACTGTTTTCATAAGTTCAATGTTGCTGTTTGTATAAGAATCTGAGTTATGCATAGACAAGTAAGAAGGTGGTTTTCTGCTGGACTTATTGCATTTCAGAGTATCATGTTGTAGTCTCCAGAAGGCACTATTAATTTCTGTTCCTCTGTGCAGCAGTAGTGGAAATTCACACAGAGGAAGAACTTCTCAAAAAAGATACGTACATTGCTTTTTATACAGACCAATGACCCTGGTTATCTTGGATTAGTACAGTGCCCTTTGAGTTGAAATTGTACCTTATTTGGAGTTGGCTCATGTTATACATGTACTGGAATTCTATCTCCAGAGTTAGACATCTACCTACCCCTAGGTAAGATGTTCAGGGTTAACAGATTAAAATATAGGATTCCCAGTTAAATATAAATTTCAGATAAATGACAAAGAATTGTTTAGTACTATTGTGTCACATGCAATATTTGAGACATATTCATGCTTAAAAATGGTTAGTTTTTTTTATCTTAAATATAGATTTCACAGGGTATTCTCCATGTTCTATCCTTATGGCAGAATACAATTCTTTGTATCTACTTCGGAGGTATATATAACCGAATGTATCTCTTCATTTGACTAACAAGTTGATGATCTTGTGATTGTAACAGTTTTACAGGTGTGCTTATGGGTGGGTTTAGTTACACTGTAGTTATCTGCCCTATAAAATAAGGACTTACATTTATAGATTTTACAAATAAGGCACATCTATGTATCACTTTCAAATATCACTGCACGTATTGTCTTTTGTATCCAAGGGACAGGTTTTTAGTTAGATAAAAATGGAAGCCATTATTTTATAAAAATACTATATATTTTCCAGTGCAGGAGGTGACCAGGGCCAGCTACCTTGATCACTGAAAGACCTTTGCTTTAGTTGTAGGCAGCTATGTGAATATCGACCTGTCCCTATGGGTAGGACATACATTCTTAGATTTTGGGTCAAACTGAAAAGTTTAGTACCTCCTTCAGGAGCTAAAGTTCTGTACAATGGAGGTGGCTAGGTGGGTACCAGGGCTCCAGAGCAGGAATTTAAAAAACCCTCACAGCCTAAATGCTTGACCCTCGGAGGATTAACACTACTGAAGGATGTCTCCATACTGCTCCGCATTTACATGGTATCGTAGCCAAGCAGCTAAAAACTGCAGATGCAAAGCTGTCTTCTTTCTCTGTGCCCTATAGACTCAAAGTCAGCTCTCTGAACTTGAAACCTGACCATGTCTTCAGACTAAATTGACAAAATTAAAATGACACAGCTTTTCATAATATATATATATATATGAGGAAAAACAAGTAACTTGGTAGTCCACTTTCTTTGAAACCTACAGTTCAATGCTGCACTGTGAGATCCTCTGTGTTGCCCCAAACCAGGAGACTAGCTTTTATCAGATGCAGCACATGACAAAGTCAAACATATTGGAGCTCTCCAGATACATTTTTGACGTGTTTCTGAACACAATGTCACTAGATGATATTTCAAGGAATTTCCCACATGAATATTCCTTTCTGGGATGGCCATCTCTACCCACAATACTTTTTTTATGATTGATCAAGCAAAATAAATCAAGCCAGCATCTTGTCGAGATATTTCTTTAATAAAAATACCTTTTCAATGCCAAAGCCTAGAGGGTAGGATATAACTGTGGTTGTTGCAAACAGAATCGGATACTTTAGTTTTATGACCTATTGGAACAGAAAAGGAGTAGCCGTCAGACATTCTAATGACATCCTTGGAAAACAGTCAGTTATGTACACAATCCTACCATGAGCAAAACTCTAGTAAGTTCTCATTGACAGCTCTATGGTTTGAACATAAGATGCTCTATTTTAATCCCTGCAATTCTCTGTAAGTAGCATAACAAACTTGGCACTGATTTATCTTCTAGATGAAATGAATGACCATCAGAGTACCCTGTCGTACATCCTCATCAACCCGTCTCCAGACACCAGGCTAGAGCTCAATGACATTGTGTAAGTAGACCTCCCCTCCCACATGAGGCATTTATTCGAGAAACCACCAATTTATTTTTTATATGTTTATTCCCACCATTATAACCCCTATGATTCCTGAGATACAAATGTCCAAGTCTAATTTGTGTGCTCAATAAACAAATGCATTGCATGTAGTTCTGTACGTAACACTATGAAAGGACATCGCAGGACTGTGGAGGAATAAAGGAAGAAATAGCAGCATGAATGCCGTGTCCTGTGAGCTGGTATATATTCGGGGAAAGAAGAGAAAATACGTTGAATCATAAGAGAAATTCCGAAAGGAAAACCTGAAATATCTCACCCTAGCCAAAGCCCCGAGACTTCCTGCCAGGCACAGCAAACCAGATGAAAAGACTTATTAGGAAAAGGTTTCAGTGGGGTCATTTGCTTCATCAGAAACTGTGCATGATGCATGCCCAACGATCCACATTTGTGGCATCGAGATAATGAAATGTAGGTGTAACCAGAGCAACGATGAATATCACGGAACATGCCTACCATGGCCAGTAGTTGGGAAAAAACACATTTTAGAAATTTATTTTATTAGCCTCACAGGGTCCGTAGTGATAATATTAGGGGAAGGCATTCTGCGGCTACATCAGTGAATTTAGAGGAAAATGAATTATACTCCCGCCATTTTATGTTTTTTTCTAAAAAAAATTACTCTCCGAGGTTCATTTTATTTATTTTTTAAATGAATTTATTGTTTAGATCAAACATTCATTTGATTCAAAGGACAATAAATCACTAGATGATATGACATTAAAATATGCATATTATCTTTCCTCTTCAATCTATGTCCATTGATATTTAAAATAATTTTAACAGCGTGCATAGAGAACAAAATCCAGTTTCTAGATTCAAAGACTCGTCTCAACTTTTATTTGACGGAAGAAAATAGGACTGCAGCATTTCAGATCGCCTTTGCGCATTTTCAGTAAGGAATGTCTTCTATAAATATTTTTCCTCGATTTCTTAAGAGCACGAACACCATCGTCGTCGGAGTCCTCACTTTTAAATTTGTTTCTCTGTTCATTTTCTGTCCCTTCTCAGATTGCTATAAAACGGTGCATACTTCTCTCATTGACGCGAAACCAGGCTTCTGTGATGCTTTATCTGCCTTCCCCACCCCCACGCAGGGCACCCCACTGTCTGTGGTACAGAAATTATCCTGAAGTCGAAGGCTCGTCAGGAACTGTTTCCACTTCCCTTCCCGAACTGACTGCTGCTTCCTGGTCTCATCAGTCTTTTCAAGTCAAAATCGTTTTCTAAACATACAAGGAGCATCCTCCATGTCTCAGATCACCTTTCTCTCCCCTACCCTTGATCTTGGAGAGATCGGTTCACTCCACCTCCTCAATGAAGACTCCCTTATTGTATTGCTCTTTTTCTCTTATGTGGTGTTTGGAATTTCTTCTTCTTCTTTTTTTCTCTCTCTTTATATCTGCTTCATCAATTAAACTCTACTAATCCTGTGAAGGACAGGGATCCGGTCCGTATTCCCAAGTCCTAGCACAGTCTACGAGAGATGCTCAGGAAACATGTGTTCATGGTGTCATTTCACAGTTAGAAGGAAACATCTCTCAGAAAACAAACTGGGAGGTGAACATTTTTCTATTTGCTAATAGAATGAATTAAGAATTCTTTTTTATACTTTTGTATAATTGCTAACTATAGCATAACCTGAATTTTAAACGATGCATTTCCAGAGAACTAAAATATTATCTGTGCATACTATTCTTCATTACATTTATCAAGTCATTCGTTGCATAGAATTAGAGAACAGCTGAAGTAAAAAGAGTACAGAAATTATTTAGATCAAATTTATTTGCGAATGATTAAAAATAAGACTAAGAGCAGTTAAGTAATAGGAGAATCCTGGCTAGGATTTCAGTCTCCTTGATAAAAAGGAAACAGCTAATGTTAGGGTACTATAGCAACAAACTGCTAATATAAATCATAAATGTTTTGTAAGTGGAAGGTGGGGAAATGGATCGGAACTGAAGTATAATGGTGCTTGTTTATCAGCACCCATCACTGCGATCTTCCTAGGAATGGAAGTAACACCAACCCTCAGCCATGAAAAAGATGTAACACTGCCATTTGCGACGACATGGATGGATCTTGAGAACGTGCTAAGTGAAATACGTCAGACAGAAAAGGACAAACACTATACGATTTCACTCCTCTGTGGGATATACAAGAGAAAACAACGAACGAACAGACAAAACAAACAAACTCATAGACACAGACAGTAGTATGGTCCTTACCAGAGAGAAAGGGGGGGGAGGATAAAGAGGCTAAGGGGGGGTCAAGTACATGGTGATGGAAGGAGACCAGACTCCGGGTGGTGAGCACACCATACAATATACAGATGATATGTTATAGAATTGCACACCTTAAATCGATAGAACGTTATTCACCAATGTTACCCCAATATATATATATATTTAAATTAATACTAATTAGGGCCAACTAAACAGTGAGTCCTCCCACTGTTGTAAATAGGGACACAGATCAAATCACCTAAAAACCGAACACATACGTGAACTAGCTTTGTGTTTAGTGGCTGTTAGAGTTCTTTGCTTTCTTTTCTCTTATCAGATACTTAATCCGACCGGACCCTCTGCCCTTCCTTGCCAACAACGAGCCCATTCGAAATAGCAGCCTCTGCAATGCGGCGGGCGCAGACTCCCGGGAGGAGACCCAGCTTTGATAGCTCGGGAATAACGGACTTCTTTTTTGCTACAAGGATCTTGTTTGAAAAAACTCTGTATCTTAGGGGAAGGAAGGTTGCTGCATGAAATAGACGAGATGGGAATATATTCAAATCTCTCATATTTTAAAAATGTCTATTCTCTTAGAAGTATAGGTTATTTTGAAATTGGACATACTGGTTATGGGTATTCCTCTCATTTCTATTTGAAAGACATCAATGGAATGGTTTTTTCAAAACCTCCGTTAAAACACACAATTTTGAATCTGGTAACTTAATTGTTTGACCGCAATCCAAACTGTATGAAGTCGGTTTTTAAAAACTCTAAGGTTTTATGAAAGTCAATGAAAAGTCCAGCTCTAGCTGGTGCATCTCAACGGACACAGAAGATCGTTGCTCCTTTAAAAAATCAAATGTCACACGATGTTCTTTAAAATCGCTCTTTTATAAAAGTGAGCTTGCCATACATGTCTCAGCTCCTCTCCACAGAGATCACAACTTTGTTGGCTGACATTTTTGTAAGAATCACAGTTTGCTTTAGAATATAAATCCTTAAGTCATCTTCACCTGTTTTGGTTGTTTTTTTCATATGACACCATATTTATTTTAGAATTTGAGATGCTCATGGCATGTTTTATTACACTGAAGAAACCAAAACAAATAAAAAAAAAAATCAAGAACCTGAACTTTTTGCTACATTTGTGTCTCACCCCCACAATCTTACTTGTGTGCCGAGAAGAGTGCATTCAAAAGCAAATATTGATCGTGCCTAACAGAGAGGAAATACTTGAATTTGTTGACTTAGATTTAATCCAAGAATTGACACATGAACTAAAATATGCAATCATTTTCATTGGACTAGTGAGCTTCAACATCTTTTTTTCCCTATCTCTACATAGAATATTTCATTAGAAAGGTAATTTAAAATTCAAAGGAGCAAAATTATACTATTTATGGACTACACAGAAATTTGAAACATTGTAAGTCCTCTTTTATGCTGTTAGTACTGAAATAGTCATACACAGAAATTGATGCTAAAATTTTTTATTTAATTTTGAAAAGTTATCTATAAGAACCATGTTTTAACGTTGTGAAGAAAAAGCAGTATCATAAACATAGGTGGTTTTGCCATTAAAATAAAATATAAATGGGCAGAATCAGACATGATAAATGAAGTACGAATGACCTTTGGCGACACCCCTGCTTTCGGCTGTATTTCTGCACCCCCCAACCTCACCCCCCAGAAAGAGAGAGAAAAGCACAGAGTATAGTTGCCCGTTAGTTGGAGAGTGTTAAGGCAGAGAGAGACATGGGCAAAATTAAAAAGTTAATTTTGATTTTGTGTTTTTCTTTATTTCTGAATTTGACATTGATTCTTAGTTCAACCGAAAATAGACTAGAAAGAGAAATTTTATCTTTTTTTTTTTCCATAAAGAAGCAGAATAATTGAAAGGAACATAGTAGGGTTAAAAACAGAGAGAAAGAAACCCTAATTATTCCCAAATAATTCTAAGGAAATAAAAATGTAAACTATAAAATGTGAAATTGAACTTTGCTGCCATCGTATGTATTGGCTTGGAGAATGAAATGCCTATTTGTTTTGTTCTGTTTCATTTTGGTTTTCAGCACTTTACCTCACCCTTAATTTGGAATAACAAAACCCTGAGGATTTCTTCAACGACAGGGAGAATCTATCTTTACTTTTCTTTAATCAGGCAGAGAAGTTGAATTTATAACAAGTTACGTAAAACCAGAGGCAAGTAAGGTTGTACGCAGAGGTATGTGTATGTTATAAGCACCTAGTTGGCAAACACACACATTAACATGGAAATTATTCAAAGTAAAGGTGGAATCAAAGTGATGTATGCAGTGGAAAATAAACGTGCATGTACTGACCCAGTTCACGTGTATACAGCAACAGTCCGTGTGCACAGCAACAGTCCATGTACACACCAACAGTCTGTGTGCACACCAACGGTTTGTGTACACATCAATGGTCCATATGCACACCAATAGTCCATGTGCACACTAACAGTCCGTGTATACATCAACAGTCCATGTGCACACCAACAGTCCATGTACACATCAACAGTTCATATACACATCAACAGTCCATGTACACATCAACAGTCCGTGTGCACATTAACAGTCCATATACACATCAACAGTCCGTGTGCACACCAACAGTCCGTGTGATGCTTCTTTGAATAGCCATGACCTTCCTTTATTACAGTTATTTTTAGGAATAAATATAAGATTTTATGAATTTTCTGTTTCCTCCGAAAATCTCAAGTTCAGTATTTTTGCATTTCGACTACTGTTGAGACCGGGGTTTTGGGTGAGGACATGACTAATATCGCCTATGAAACTAGAAATGTTGTTTTATACCTTTTACGGTAATTATTTTTTGATGATGAACACAAGTCCAAATGTACTGTTTGGCACGATTCCTACAGCTTGCTATACTAGTGACAGTTTACTAGTCTTTCTGTTATTTAAACAACAGAAAGATGCTAATAAAAGCCTTTTAACAAACCGTTTCAAATACTTACACTCACAGAGGAAAAGAACATCTAGGTCCTGGTAGCCCTGAGGGAACCTGTCCAGTTCACTCTCTGTGCCGCATTTTGCTACCAGTTACACTGATTTGCTTTAAAATAAATAATAAAATTATTTCTGATGATAAAAACTTGGTGCTATGGTCTTGATTTTTTTGTTTTTTTGCCAAAACACTCATTGTCCAGGCCAATTATGTTTGAAACTACACAACTCCTATCGCTTTGCTATTTCAAAACTGAAACACGCTTGGTGGTGAAGCTGTTGGAAAAGAGCCAGAGACGGACTACTGCTCACCTCTCAGCTCATAGGCTCCGACAGGGGTGCGGCAGGAGGGGCCGGGCCGGCGGGAGGGTGGGCTCCAGAGGGAAGAGACAAAGGGGAGGGAGGGAAAAGTAGAAACCAACAGGAAGGAGGAAAAAAGAAAGGCAGGGAAACAAAAAACAGGTTAAATATATATTTACTAAATAAAGGATAATGTCCCAGTACGCTAATTTATTTAATAAAAACAAATTCTTTTCTTTATTGATTTTAGAGAGAGAGGAAGGGAGAGGGAGAGAGAGAAACATGGATGAGAGAGAACATCGATGGGCCGCCTCCTGCACGCCCCCCACTGGGGATCAGGCCCACAACCTGGGCACGTGACTGGAATCGAACCGGCGACCTCTTGGTGCAGGGTCAACACTCAGCTACTGAGCCACACTGGTCGGGCCCAGTACAATAACTTAAAAAACAGCAAAGCTCTGCTCAGAGGAAAGAAAAATAAAATTTAAAGTCAAAGGCAGACTTTGTTTCCTGGAAAATGAAGTAGACACATCTCTCCCTGTTCTCCCGCTAATGCAGCAAAACCTTAGCTTTTCTGTGTCCATCAAGCATCAGAGGACCTGGACAGGTGGGGAGGAGGAAGCTGGACGAAGGAGGTAAGACTTGAGCAGCAGAGTGATGGTGACTTCCCTGGGTTCCCTGTGCCCGCTATCCGCCTTGGTCTGGACATTGGCAAATACCGGTCAGCAGGGACAGAAAAGTCCCATGAAAAGCCTGATTTCTTCCTCCTAGGAACTGACTCCTGTATCATATCCAACTTCCCCGACACCAGCCTCCCAATACTCCTGGAGGGTAGTAGCTTCCAGAGAATGGATCCTGGTTGGCAGTGGTCAGGACACCTGTGACCAGCAGCTTCCCTGAGCACCCCTCAAATGTAGCCCAGTGACCCCAGGGAGATGCTCCCCTAAGAAAGGCCTACCCCAGATTTCCATCAAGTTCCACCGACGGCCCTGGGCTCTTCCTGGGCACTGTCTCTCAGCCCGGAGATAATGCATGCCCCTCATGCCTTCTACTGCTAGGCCATTTCCAAGTTCTCTTCTCTGACACTGGCCAATCTGTCACTACTTCAAAGCTCTGCAGTTACGGATTCTCTATCCGCAGCTCTACAGGATAACCCTCTACGTAAAGTCTGTGCCCTATCTCATTACGACGCGTTGGTTCTAGACCAGTTGCCACGTGGCAATCCGGAATTTTCCCGAGCCTCCTCGAACAGGGACAGGTAGTCCCTGCCCCCGCTGGACAGGAGACCACAGAATGAGTGTGAAGGATGTCAGGTCACCAGAGAACCTCGCTCGGCTAAGAATTCCTCAACACCTCTGCGTCTTGGAGAACAGCTTTGGACACATGGAGCTGCAGATGGTGAGGGAGGGAAGGACCCGACCAAATGAATAGAAATGTCCTTCCTGCTTGTTAGCCAGCTCGCTTTTCCCATGCGCCTGCGGTGCTTGTGACCCGTATGTTAATTACCACCGTGGGTCCAGGAGGAGGAAACAGCTTTCCTGCTAAATAACGAGAAACACAAAACTAACAGTCATGACCACAACGGGACGTATACTAGCTCTGAGCCTTTGAGACATCATTCTACTAACATTGCATCTAGTTTTCAAGAAAATGGACTTAATTGATCTCCTTTGAGAGAGAGAGTTCATCAGCAGTAGGCGCGAGGGACAGAAACACCCCAAAATGCAAAAGGGAACAGGTCTCAAAATGTAAAATAAGTCAGAGGAACGCCCTGACTGATAGGAATGGTTACGTTTAAAGGTTCGGCTTGGAAAGAAAGACAAGCACAAATCACTTGGACTAGGTTTTGGTTTATCTTTGGATTTGCTTTGTGACAGCACCACCTTGTGGCCAAGTGCAGACTAGTTTTCCATCGCAAAGGAGTCGAGGCTGAGCTCGTATCCTTTTCGTGGTTCTGCTGCAACTTTAAAAACCACTTTTGTGTTATTTAAATTTCCAAAAAGTTGTCATTCTATACATGATTGCGAAAGATCCGACTGCACACTTCAAGGCTAATTTAACACTTAGAAAACGAATACTTTTTGAAACGTAAGTTACATGTGAACAAAGGAAAAGCTGTTCAGCGTGAGCTACGTCGAAGAACTCATTGAAGATTAGAAATGTTTTTACCTATGAACTTTGAAGATATTCTAGAAAATGTTGATGGAAGTATCTCATTAACCATTTAAAATATTTTTAGAATCTAGGTTCTTGATAAGGTAATGAAAATCTTTATTTTATAGAAAACTTATCAGAAGCATATAAAGTGTAACCAAATGTGTGGTTTATTTAATATGACCGAGTAATGACCTCCTCAGTGAGAAGATTGAAAGGTCATTAAAAATAGAAACGATTTATGAAATATGCTAATTAATTTGTAGTGAAAAACCCCCAAGTCATGTAGTTTGGGGGGACAGGCTTCCTGCCAACATACCCTGTCACAGCCAGACGTCAGAGCTCAGATGTCCAGGCTGTGACAAGCTATGTGAATGTCAGGTCACATCAGCTCAAACTCACCCCCGAACCTGGGTGAACGCATCCCACAGAATACAGAGCAGGTACATTGGAGCAACCCAGGCACACACACTCTCGCGACTCTGCTAAATGCTTCTGCGTGAAC